CAGATCGTCGATGTCCAGCTGGTGAAACAGGGGCTTCAGTCCCTCTGAGTTCAGAGCCTTCACCGCTGCCTCACCACGGCCTCTGCAAGAGGAGCAAAACATCCTCATTTATATTCACTTTGTCTTCAATCTCATCGTTTACACCTTATACCAGCTGAGATTCTCAGTCTTTCTCTCTTCATTTTGTCCCCAAAGGCCCTGAAACATGATGAAGTTCCATCACTGGCCTGGCCACATTACCACGGTCATTTACTGTACACATAATGGAACAAATGTGCAGCAAGACGTGTTCACAATTTCAGGTTGAAATAATCAAACGTTCTTTTTTACCCCCGTGTGCGTGCTCAGAGCCTGAAGCAAGAAGCTTGGATGAACAAACAAACCACAGTTGCAGTTCCTGCTAGCTCTGACCGAGCTTTAGTTTTGTTTAAGCTCTTGGTATGCAAACGTGTTGAGATGATTAAACTGCAGATACGTGAACATTTATCAACTTGGTCCAGGTGTCACCAGGTGAGTCACTTACACATTTCTGGCAGTGAGGTAAACGTCTCCTTCAAACTGCTTGCAGAGCGCTCGGACAATGGCCAGACCGATGCCCTTGTTACTTCCAGTTACCACGGCAACTCGGGTTGACATGTCTGTACAAAGAGAGAGAGAGGCATCAGTGTCTGAAGTCATGAGTTCACACAAGTGTTGGTTCAACTTGGAGGTGGGCCCTGCTCTGGGAGCAATGGCTATCTAAGAAAAATAAAGTTTTAGTGACATTATCAGGCTGAATTTGATTTTTTTATTATATTAAAAAAAAATCGTACAAACAGATAAAATTAAAGAATTCTCTAAAATATTCATTTAATTGCAGCCTGACATGAATGTACTGAGATGTCAGCATCATGACCCAGTGCTCACAGCTAAGCACAATCATCTGTGTTGTTTTATTTTTTATTTGTGTGGGAAACGTTTAAAAAAAAAAAGGGGGGGGGGGTTCCTGCACGAAAATTTTCTGGCAGGTGTTTTTGACTTTTTCTCCACTCTATGCTACACACTGCGGTCACTTTTTCCTGTGTCCCTGTGCAGGCATACAGTCCAGCCCCAATGTAGACTTTTATTTGGTTCTCTGGGCTGTGCAGTTTTCCTAGTTGCTGCAGCCTGAAGGCACAGTTAGCTCACTGAGGCTGGGGTGCCTGCCCTGACACGGTGGTTGCATGGGAGGGCAGCCACCTTACAGCTGGCCTTGGCCTCAGTTTTCTGTCCCTTTGTTCCAAGTGTGTCCTTTATGTGTCAGATACTATAGACGGCCTATTTCCTTCTCAATTTAGTGTTTGTCTGCTATAGTTTTTAAATTCTCTCCCCAGTTTTTCATCTGAAGCTGTTGGATAACTGGCCCGACCGTGAATATGTGTGTTACATCCAAGTGCAGCTTCAGGCCTGGTGGAAGTCTAAGGGGAAAATCAGTGAGGGAAAAAAGTGCACTGTCAGTTTATGGAAGTAAATACTGGAATAGCTTATTATCAATCAATCTTTATTTATAAAGCACTCTTCATACAAAAAAATGTAGCACAGAGTGCTTTACATGGTTAAAAGCAGCCCACCCCACCCCGCCCTCCAACTCACTCCCCACACTCTCATTAACATAAATTATCATGAATACACACATCTCCTCCCCCCCCTTTTTTTTTAAATTAGGATAAAGGGATGTTCTGAATATTTTTAAAGCAGAATTGAAACAGTGCCTCATTGTAAACCAGATCACTCATCTCCTGTATTTCTTACTTGGATATTGCACATGTAGGGCGCTGCACGGGTAAATGAGCAGTTTCGCGGATGTCAAACAAAAGTTTTTCATGGCTGTTTTTCTCTGTTTGTGAAAGAGGGTTTGACAACCGCTGCGTTAAACACACCAACAGAAGGCAAACAGACTTACGTTTAGATAAAGTGAGTCAGCTCTGTAAGTGCGTAGAGGTCAAAGTGAAAAACGGAAGCCTGCTGAGTCACGATGACAGTTCCAGAGAGAAAAATAGTGGGAAAACAAATCCACATATATTGCTCCAATAATTTCAGGGGAGAAATGAATTGAATGCACATACTGCAGCTTTGAAATGCACTGCAGAATGTGGATTAAATAAGTTTAGTTTAATTGTAAACTACGTTGTTGGAGAGAGAAGTAACATCGTGGAAGAGACATAAAGTGAGTAAAAAACGTCTTAAATGCATTTAGAATTTATTTAGAACTACAAATTAAATTTCTTTTAGCAATTTTTTTTTTTTTTTAATGTCACAATTCCAACCCTGCTCCTTTATCCGGGCTTGCACCGGCAAAAGTGACCCGAAATAGGCACTCTGGTGGAGTTACTTTGTGTGTTTATGAGTAGTTTTAAACCTTGTGATCCACAAAACAGCATAACAGTGAAGAACTGACTGCGTTACAGTCAGTGCGGGAGCAGCGGCTTCGCTCATGCGCGATTCATTTGCAGTTTGGACGCATAGAGGTGAACATCTCCTACCCTGATAGCAGCTGCGTGAGGACCATCCTCCACCTGTGAGCGCTTTGGCACGGGCGAGGTGCCAACGACAGCAACCGCTGCTTGTTGAGAGTAGGGGCGATACCCTCGTTCACGTAAAAAAAACGTCATAAATAAGTCTCCAATAACACCAGAAAAAGTCGCCAGATTTGTCGCTAGTCGCTTTTCAGGAAAAAAGTCGCGAAGGGGGTCTGAAAACTCGCTAAATATAGCGTCAAAGTCGCTAAGTTGACAACACTGGTTTTACGAGGCATGTGCAAACAGAACGTGACTGTAAATTACAGCATGGAATTAATAATTTGTCCAAACTTCCCGTTTAAAAGCCTTTGATCGAAGAGAATCAGAAGACCTTTCACCAGCGTCTCTCTCTCTGTTACATAACGCTGACTTTCAGTTTGCAGGTCGGCCCGACGCCTCCTTAAATCCGCTAAAATTTAAACAAGCTGCCGACAAACGAAAACTGTAAGATGTAGCGGAGGCCTCACACTTACTGAAGCTGGGGTTTGGTCCTGAATGAGGCTGCAGAGAGGACAAAAAGCGCTGCACGTGAAAATGTACGACTGTAAAAGAAAAACAGAAAAAGAAGAAAAGCAGGGCGGCGTTCTGCGCAGGATCGGTGCGCATCCCCAGAAAAACAAGTGGAACACGTGGGTTGGGTTATGGATGAGCTGTACTGCGAGGAGGACAATATTTCGGCATTTCTCAACTTTTAGGAAGGTTTGTAGGATCATGACATCTTCTCCACGATATCCTTCAGAATATCTGCAAAGGTCAGTTAAGGCTTCAGAAATGCACATTACAGGGTTAAGGTTTTAGATTATATGCTGCAAGAACAGGATACGGAGGTATCTTCCTTGCTGCGATGATGATGCTGTCCAGACTTCAGGGTTGAGGAAGGACACAGAGGCTGATTTTAAATAAAGTAATCTGCAATCTGGAGGATCCAACTGCAAATACACAGAGACACAGAGAGGTGAGGAAAGTGATACTGAAGACAGACCAGACTGAGCTGCATTCAGATGCTTTAAAGCCAGAGAGGTTATTTCTGTTCAAATAGTAATAATAAACTATGAAGTTATCAATTTATGATGCCGCTGTTGAGTCTGACCCCAGCTCACCTGCAGGTCTTGGTGGGATGTAACCCAGTGGCCGCCCACTCCCAGCACACTGATGATGTCATGTTTGTGTGGAAGTAATTT